GCAGCGCGGTCGTCTGCGTTGCTTTGGAATCTGAAGGACGGTAAGAGAGCCCTCAGCTACCGCTCGACGGAAGCCAAAAACACGTACGTTGCGCTGAAAATTTCAGCGTGGACCACACTACGTGGTTTTCAATACCGAATTTTTAAAATAACGATGCTTCTGAATGCCTCTAGTGAGACTTCGCGGCCGGTGCTGATACTACCTCGCACCCGCAACAAGACCGATATTGTAATCAAGACCGACGTGCTGTTAAGGATGATGGACAAGCCACAATTTTGCCAGCAACTAGACGGGTATGCCGGTGTGGTGTAAAGACTGATCTACCGGGAAATAACCTTATCAGTCACGTGCAATGCGACCGTGGTAGCTCGGATATCAACACTGGACGATGTTTGGACTGATGATCCTATCGACCGTGTCGACGAGGATGATTTCCTATAATTTTGCTTGTTGTACTTCCTGTTAATTGTGGCATTAAAAGAACTTGGTGGAAGCTCGATCCGTGGTGCCATTTCAAAAACATTGTTGTTCGGCCGGACTTTTTCCAACCTTGAAAGCACAATGTTCTCGTACAACGTACAAGAAAACGCTAAGATGCAGCCACGAATCCTTCGATGCATTGCAAGAGATGTTAGAGCCACTGTACTATGAGAAGTACGGAAATCCAGGCCAAAACACACAATTTCATTTTGTCATAGGGCTGGGTGCTTTATTGACATATTGTGGCAATGGTTGTGGAATCGATGGCGACGGTATTGGAGAAGCTGTAGCGCAGCTTTTAATGTCACGAGCGGTAAGTGGAGTCTACATCAAAAGGTTGGAAGATCTACTCTTTGACATGAGGCACTAATGTCATCTACTTTCCGGCCCGCTCTGCTGCAGAATAATGGGAGGCTCTGGTCGACGGATCTTGGAGTGACTATTCTGATGTTGCCTGCGTGTTTGACGGAACCATTGTTCAAACATGGCGCCGCGCAACCACACGGTATGGATGTTTGATTGTGTTGTCATTATATTCTAACCTCCAACACAGTTTAACAGAATATACATGCTGTTAGGGATTTTATGATCTACACGCATACTTGTAGAACGTGGTTTTGGAAAGCTCAAGGGGCACTTCAAAGTGATGTATGGCTTTACGGATCGCCATGCACACACGACAAATGCTCGCATGCTTTGCGCGGCAGCCGCTCTTAATAATCTGCTCAACGAAATATGAGATGGCGTTGAGTTTGAATGGATGGGTGATGATCAAGCACAAAAGGCGCAATTCGAGCTATGAGCGCTTTTGATTCACACTTAGATCGAGCGCAAGATGATAATGATTAAGGAGAAGCAAAGCGGAGCTCGTACATGGAGCGTTTCTACCGCAAGGATAACGAATAAAACACATTGAGTTCGTCTTAATCGCACATTGAAACGAACGCATTGCGGTCAAACCAAAGTAGCCATTCAATGGATAAGTGCCGTCTAGACGAAACGGTTGCTTCTTTATGCAAAAAACGTCATTGCAGACATTGACATCTGCTGCAGGTTTTTCATACTTTGACGTAGGGCCAAGCTGGTTTTGCGCTGCGCTTCCATAAATGCAGCTTGATTGGCAGACGCAGCACCAATAGTCAAGGACAGTCTATTGATCACCTGGATCATATTTGCGCCGGAATCAAGTGATTTAGAGTGTTGCTGCCGGCAGTTAGAATTTACTCGATAGAGCCAAACCCGGTTTGCAGAGAACGGACAATGACATCTACTGGTCGGCGTGGCAGGGTCACTCTTGAAGGGTCCTGGTTCTTTGCCTTGTCACTTGCCTCTGCTCGAGCCTGGCTTGTGGAATTGGAGCAGCCGTCGTCGAAGATATTGCTACCCATAGACTGGATGTCGTCTACACTGCTATCGCTATCACCACCCTCGCCATGGACGCGAGAAACACCTGGCTCTAGAATAGCTTCACCAGTGCGTCCAGGATTCACAGAGAAAGCATCAAAAAGAAGCGCCCTCAACGCAGTGAGCTCTCGCCCAAGATCGTGCAGATACTTTGGGCACACATTTGTCGGGTTGCACGCCAGCTTCTCGTCGGTGTCAGTGTCAGCGTTTCCTGCAAAGCTGGCAAAAAATTCACGCGGCATCTCAGGATGTGCGCGCACTGCATCGTCATCATCTAATCTCGAGCTGTCACCGAGTGATTGATTTCAGGTAGCAAGAAGGCGCGCTCGTTTGGCTCGATATGCAGTGCAGATTGCGTTTAGTTTGCTATCGACCCGAGAGATCAAAACTTTTCACGGCGTCTGTCCTTCATCACGCGCACCTTCCATAAGAGCTTCCAGAAACGTATGAGCTGCAGCTTCACATTTAGTGCGCATATGCTTGGTACCCGACGTCGTGTCGGTAAACTTAGTGACAACACGTGGATTTTTAAATCGCGTCTCAATTGCTAGCGACGTCAACGCAACATTCCACAGCATGGGAGGGGGACAAGTCGACCCTGGGCTAGAGCTCGTATTGGGCTTAAAAAGGTTGACTTCTTGGTGGGTTTCTTGGTCGCCGATTTCGTTACACCTATCTTCTTGGTGAGCGTCTTCTTCGCAGCCAAATGCTTAGCTGCAGGCTGATTGACACGGCTTTGTCGGTGTTTCCTAGAAGGTGGTGCTGGGGTATCAGTCTCGGAAGACGGGGGCCTTACCACCCGCTTCTTCATTATCAGCTACAGTACCACGTCGACTTCAGACCACAAGCTGGGATCCGTCTCTTCTCCACAGATAGTGACAAGGCCAGACCAAGGTGTTGCTAGTAGACCGTCTTCACTTCTCAGCGACTCCGACGCGTGGTCATGGTTATATCTTCTGCCAGTACCTAGGCGGTCCTCAAGTTAAACACTTCAGCACGCCCGTGTGGACAGAATGTGGAGCGAGCACTCGAAGTACAACAACCCACCATTCGAAATATTATGTTACAAAGGTGTAGAACAACAAATGAGGGGACTTTTCGCTAGCTTGGACATCTCGGATCCTTCACTTTTTTGCAGTAAGATAATTGACCGAGAAATAAACGAGATATTTTCTATTGAACAGCGCTCTTAGCACAATAAACAATATTTGAAGTAGCGCTTCCTTTGATAACATGAAGGGTTAGGATTAAACTCACGCTTTGTATTTACCCCCGATCGGGCTGCTAAAAAAAAACAGATTCCGACTTACTTGATCTTTGTATTAGATATTGGGTGGAAGTAGCTTTCGCGTCCTAATACAACCGAGCATGCAGCTTTCGATTACATGACAAATCACAGCACATAATTAGTTTAACCTACTTCACAAATGTCCAAAAACATTTCACGAATGTTTTGGGTCGGAATAACTATACCGGCTTCCTCCGCTTTTTACTGACACCCATGTTTGGCTACATATTGATAGGAAATTTGTGTATAAACAGTAATGTCTGCCGCGCGTCGTAAATCATAAAACATACGTGAATTAATTGAGCAGAGCGGACTGCTTTCAATTGTGTCGGGCTCGTCGTCAACAGCACTAATTCTACCGTCTACAAGGCTAAGGCTAGCTAGTTCGGCTATCATCTCACTTGCTACCACGTCTACTTCTTCGGTGGCGAGTCCGGTTTTTTTGTAGCCCGCTTTTACCGTCTCCTCACTTAACATTCTTTTTTGCCCGCCCGCGAGCCGTTTGGCAAGTCAACCAGGCATTCCGATAATACAATTGCAATCATATTGAAGGTCCATGCCAAAATAAGCTATTGCTACAGCTTAAGAAATAAATAATTGACATCAATAGTAGTGTATTGGAAAATTTACTACTTAGATGTACAGCACTGCACATTACTTTGCGTTCACGATAGCTGCTACAGTGTTTGCGTCCCAGAAACGCCGATTCATCTTCAGGAGCCACACGGTTTCAAGGTGAATAGGCAGCATACGCTGGCGATGGTGGGAAAGAGTATGTTTCGCCACACTAAGAAGACGCTCCACGGTGTTAGACGTCGGCGGGATGAAAAGCACACCATCAAATACCTTCTTTGCACCGCGCCGCTTTTTTCTAGTCGCCAAGACTCTGTCGGCAAAGCCCTGTGGGCGTCCGTGCCTGGTGTCCGGTGTCGTAATTGCGGGTACCGTCTCAAATGGCTGCAACATCAGCTCCTGGTCGTTCGTCAGCTCGTCCACGGCGCCTGACAGGGCTACAACGCACGCTCGCTCGAAGTCCACGTCCTTAACAATATTTGCGTCGGCAGCAAGATACTTTTTCACAACGGAATGCTTCTCGATGAGCGCATCAAAGATATCACATCGAGAAGCGTTACGTTGTCGTCTTGAAGCTTCATGGTCGAGAGTAAATTTTGTCGTATTAAAAATATTAAAACAAATAAAAATATCGTTTTTAAGACAAAATGAGCGAGTCGTAGGTTTTTGCTAAATTACAATAATAAAAAATCGAGCTGTTTGGAGTGTCACCGACTCTCACACAGAATTTCTGGCCCTTTGCCTCTTTTTTTGAAGAAACCTTAGCAGGGACTTCAAATCATCAGAGGGTCTGCTTATCGGTAAGTACTTCACCACAAATCAGTCGTAATTCGCTGGCATCTAATTGCCCGAAATGATATTCTGGACACCCGACAAATAGGCACGTGGTTCACATTCAGATTTCATCACCCCAGAGAAGGAGTGCAACGAACATCTCGACACCAGCGCGCACAACACAGGTTATTTTAGTCTGCACCATCGTAGCTCAGCGGCTAGAAACTAGAGCTGTCGACGTCTCGGTGTCAGCCTAGTCGACGTCTTGATGTCCAACAGTCGTCGAGAGATGTCGACCTGACACCTGACATCTTGTCACTATTTCGATTTAAAGACATACTCAAACTCTCCGGTTGACCAGAACCGTGAGCACAGTGTACTCAGGACACGAGAGCTTCCACTAAAATCAGCATCGGCGTCGTTTCTGGCACTCTTCGGGTGTCTCTGACGTGCCCCATGTTGGAGAGCAACGCTGACTACAATGGCGCGGACGTCCGTAGTGCTCCCAGCACCTTTGCTACCGGCTGCGTCTTCATCTATTCCAGATGAGATGTAATATGTGGACGAACGACATCTAGTGCTCACGCTGTCCAAGTGAATTATTAAGGCCAGTAATAACTCCGTCTCCAGTGTCTACCAGAAGTCCGATCCAATCGCCCGGCTGCATCGGCGGACCCACCACTGCGGCGAGTACGGCGAACCGGACCTGCCGCCGAATGCATCACGGTCCCGTCGTGCACGAAGCTGAGTGCCGCGCGGAATTTCGTGGACAACCCGATCTCCAGCAACGCGCAGTACGGTTTCAAGACGGCAGCAGGGCGCTATGGGTGGCGGTGGATCCGGCGGACTTCGTGTCGGGCGTGCAGATTCTAGGGCAGGAGACGGTGGTGATCAATTCGGCCTACTACTTCCTGATTGACGGGAGCGGCACGAGCGTCGCGGACTTGGGTTCCGTCTGCATTTCGTGACATATTGGAGATACGTCGTCGCTGTCCGTTGATGCGTGTACTGACGGCACGTCACAGTTCCCTACCAGTGGCGACACTTCTCAAGCGACAACGTCGGTGTAGACTTCAACGACCACGTCAGCCCCAACTACCGCCACCACTTTCAGCGGCTCCTACTGCACCACCAACTACTCCGGTTGCTACGTCATGTCCGACACAAGGTTCTACGGTTACGACATCACCTCAAAATAAAGGACCTACTACACCGCCAACTACAACCTCAATTACGATAACGACTCCAGGCATGACGTCGCCACTAACCGATGCTCCTACTTCTACTCCTACGTCAGTCACAGAAGCTCCGACTACGGCTCCACCAACTACGTCGCCGCCGACTGAAACTATAACAGGCATTGCGGTGACCAACTAATGCTCATTGCAGTTGTTGATAGCTCGTTTTGACCAAACGTATGTAGTCTTCATTAATGTAATTTGCTAAAGGAAATGGCGTCTCCTGATCTTCGCATTCGCAAATTCAGACGCTTCAAGAGCCCGTCACGTTTTGAGCCATGCAAATAATATCGCGGACTGTGTCAGGCTTAAGCACTTCTTGGGACACTACCATACTCATCGTGAGCGACACAAACAATAAACTGCCAAAGCGCCTTTACTTGCTGCGATCGTTTTGGAGCGGCAAACGTCCTTCCTGCAGAACATGATCGGATATTGGCAGAATCGTATGTCTGGCAGCTCGCTGTAGGTCGCGTAGTCTCAACTTTGATAGGGCTCGCCGCCACAGGAGGAGGTGAACTGAGCCTGTGTCTTAATCTCTTGGGAGGGGGGGGGATCTTGGCCGTAGAGGAGTTGATGCTCGCTTTTTCAGTGTTGATTGTGTTCTCTGTCGACTCGGTGGCTGCGAAATCGTTCTTTGCCTTGGCGGAGGAGACGCGAAGAAGCTGCCATCGCCATCGGGCTCGCTGTCCATTGTGTCAGAAGCTCACCGCACCAAGCGGGGGTTCAGGATAATGAAGCAGCTCCAGTGGAGGCTCCAGGCAAGTGCATGAGAAAATGAGGTATTGTGCGCTCATTGGTTCGTCAAATGCATTTTTAACCAATCGGTATATGCTACGGAGCGGGATGTCGGCGGGATGTCGGCACGATGTCGACTGACACCGAGCAGACGTCGGTAGTCGAGTGTCCGAAAAGACGTCCGGATCCGTTGACGTCGGTAGCTCTACTAGAAACCCGCATGCGGGAGACGAAGGTTCAAATCCATCCGGTGGATGTACCCGCTGTGATGTTTAAGCAATGGGAGAAGGAAATCAGAGCGGGCGTTGCTGCAGGCTACTAGAGTGGTGATGTATCAAATGACAAGGGACCGGAAAACGACAGCAATCATATATGTAAGAACTTAAATATTCGTGGAAGTAAGTTTTGTGGAGGAAGTGTGCAGTGGCGCCCCAGTGGTAGCTGTAAGACAGCTTCGTCCCAGTGGTGGTGCATACATTCAACGGGGCAGCATCGAACAAGCATGTGCACAACAGCTAAGGGGCATCATTGCGGCAGCAGTAGATACGCGCATTGAAGTTACAGGGCATTAAGTGGGAGGGCATCGCAGAGCATTTTACAAGTGCAGCAATTATGGTATAGCAGTGGATTAGCAATTTTCCGTAGCAGCAACTATGGAGCGGCACAAAATTTGGTGAAATGAATTTTAAACCAGCAAAGGGATGGAGTAATCGAAGGGTGGTGTAGTGCATGGAATACTTGTGCGTTTAAGTAGTTGCCGACTAACAAGCCGGTGAATGGATTGCAGCATCAGAAAAGCTTGTGACGGTGGATGGATTAGTGTGCATTGGTCCATGCGGCTGGTCAGGCAAAAACGTTACTATTAAATAACCGTGAATTGGAATTGTTATGGCAGTGGATATATTTTGCTGAGCATTGGAGCCGTTATAGACTAATGGAGAGGTCGAGTAACAATGCGGTACAGCTTCGCTACGGTGGGCATCCAGCGGCTAGGTATCACAGCAGCTTTTCAAAGAGCACCCCGTAGTTCAGCACAGTTGTTGGCGTGCAGCAGGCCATACGACAACTAGGACAGGGAAATACGCATGCGGTACTATCGGTGTGTGGTCCCTACCGCGTTTTCAGATGTATTGCAGTGACAGTGTGAGAGAGAACGACGGAAGAGAGTGTTGAGTCGGGAGCTGGAAAGAAGCTCGGGTATTAACAAGTTGTCAGTGTTGTGGATTACTACAAAAGTATGGAGGTTCATATGGCGCTTCCGGAGGCGCTTAGTTGTCGACTGATCTTCAAAAACGGAGACCATTTCGAGGCTGCCGTGATAAGTGCCGACCCTCTCCGTCAGTTGTGTATGAGCTTTCTGACGGGGACCGTGTTCTTAGTGCAAAGGTGCAGGGTCTTTTTGTGAGCAAAATTTCTAGTTAATGGCGGCCGGAATTCGAGCTTTACATCAAGCCAAGTGACCACGCAAAACAGAAGCACTTCGAAGTTCTATACCAAGCACTTGAAGCCTTGATAGCTCAGCTGCATAATTGGGACCAGGCAGACTCCGACACAATAAACAAGCTGGATTTGAGCTCAACATTTCGTCTACGTTCCGAAACCTGAAGCACAGACAACCCTACGTCGTGCGACCGCATCTCGTATTCAAAAGTAGATGCCTCGTGATGCCGCGTTTCTTCAAGAGCAGCAAGTCGACGCTGGGCCTGCATTCCAGAGGTACATGGCTGTCGCTCAAGCGTGGCTGCCAGATGCAACACCAATGTCAGTACCGGACAGCACTACATTCCGACAGCCCAGTATATTTACGGCCAACAGGTAGATGTAACTGCAACCTTGCATGCAAACAGCAACATGCTGACGAGAAGTTCTGCATCATCCGGATCAGGATTCACGGTGCTCCTGTTCCATTGAAAGTGAACCTTAGCGACCTACGTGAAGCGCTCGGGCTACCCAACTACACCTTTGTGCGTCCAACTTCGTAGTAATCTGCAATCAAACTCGAGAGTCGCAAATTTCTTTCTGTCAAATTTTTACAAATATTGATTTAGCAACTTCAATTCTGCATTCAAAGTCGGAAATAACGCAATCAATGTCGTGTGGCGCTAAAACGAGAGGCCCAGGATAACTCCCGCCAAATAGAGATGCTAAACGCGCGCGAAAACAGAGCTAGCGCGTGTGTCAGTGTATTCTGTAGAGGAAGGAGCTTGGCCAGACGCTCATTTCCCAATTCGCGCTCATCTGCACTACAAGATGCAATCGCAACTTCGCACTTCAAAGCACACGGTCCTCGAAAAACAGCGTGTCCTCGACGCATATCGTGCGGGTCGTCGCGACTGGCTAGCCGTGGCGGCTAGCAACGATATCCCACCCACCACCGCCTATGATTTGGTGCGACGCGGGCAAGCTACGGACCTTCCTCGTGGTGGAGCAAGGCACGTCAAGATGACGCAAGAGGCAAGGAATGCCTCGAGAGATATCTCGATGACGACTGCACGTACACGCTAAACCAAATGCGTATCATGCTCTTTCTTGACTGCAACGTGAAGGTGCACACATCGACAATCAGCCGCCATTTGCTGAACTTGCTTTACACAGTGAAGCAAGTTCGCATCGAGCCGACAACATGCAACAATGACGTAAATAAGGAGAAGCGTCGCGTGTTTGCAGAGAAACTGAAGGCGCACCAAAGTGACGGTAACTGTATTGTTTATTACGATGAGACTAACTATAACGTGTACCTGAAGCGACAGCGAGGGCGCGCGCAGCGCGGACAGCGAGCTGTCGTAAAACTTCCTCCTTCAAGAGGAGCGAACCTGCAAATTCAATGTGCGGTGTCGTCAGCTATCGGGATGGTGACCTACCGGCTTCAGCGCGGAAGCATACGCATGGACAAGAACGCAGCCTTCGTAGAGGACATCTACGAAGCCGTTAAGGCCTCCGACGTGTTCCAGACCGGCTTCCAGAACAAGAAGATCGTGATAGTGCTGGACAACGCTCCTGCCCACCGCCAGACGGAGGAGCGCGTCATGAAGCACCCGGACATGGAGCTGTTGCGATTGGGACCCTATTCCCCAATGTGCAATCCTATTGAAGGATGTTTCAGTGTGCTGAAGGCGCACATTAAAAACTATCTCGCGGTTTTCCGCGAAGAGATTTGTGACCGCTCGCGAGAGCCTGATCACAACGGAGAAGTGCTGTCGCTTGCCGAGCGCCAAATGCGCATCCTGGAGCGCGCTGCGGAGAGCAACATGAAGTTCATCACGCCGGCGTTGGTAACGAACATGGAGCTGCACTGTCGCGACTCGGTGAATCGTGCTGCGGACGGTAACGACATGGTGTACGGAATGTAATGCTTACGACATTGCTTGCGTTATTTCCGACTTTGAATGCAGAATTAAAGTTGCTAAATCAATATTTGTAAAACTTTGACAAAAAGAAATTTGCGACTCTCGAGTTTGATTGCAGATTACTACGAAGTTGGACGCACAAAGGTGTAGAGCCTACGACCTCCATTTCGGCCGCCAACGCATATAAACACACCAGCACCAGCCATCGATATTGAGTATGAAGACCAAAACGACGATCAATTCGATGCAATGGAGCAGTAGTCAACAGATCAACAGTTATCGTATAATTGCTTATCGATAACGAATTTGGCTTGTATGCGCAAGGACCATAGATGTCTCACCTACATGTACTTTCTG